CCAGGAAATGGAGGTCGCCAATCCAGAAAACGACGGCAACGCCGATAAGTATGACCAACTTCATCACACGCCCAGCAGCGAACATCACGGCCACGACCACGTCCTCGCACTTGTCCTTGGACTTGAGCAGCAGCAGCATCAACCTCCATGGGAACAGGACCATCACCCATAGGAAGTGGAGCGGAAGGATGTGCAGCGAGAAGTGGAAGAGGCGACGTCTCATAATGTTGTGCCAAGCGAAAAGCATCGTCAAGGGTGGCAGGAGAAAGTGCATGCATAAGTCCAACAAAATCTTGACGAAGTGCTGGCCACAACATTCCTAGCTTGATCCGCTCCGACATATTTGGCTCCGCACGAAGCAAAAGACTTCGGAAACAAACGCCAAATTGCATCACCGACTCAGATGGCCCTTGGCAAAGACGATGCAATTGTTGGAAAGCATCATCACAATCATCGGCATGTCCGAAGGCGTGTTTGAAGACATCCGGGAGAACACTCCAATCCCCACGAGTGGCTGCGCTCAAACCATTGTACCACTGCAACGCCGTCCCTTGAAGACACGTGGGAAACTCACGCAACCGTCGAGCATCATCCCAAGAATGATATGTGGCAATCACCGTAAAGTGATCGAACCAATGGTACACATCATCCCCAGGATTCCCGCGAAAGAACTCCGGCCGAACGCGAGGATTGGCACCAACAGCAAGAGTTGTACCATGTGCCGTGAATGCCGCCATCAACTGAGTTTGGTTGTTCAATTGCAAGCGTATAGCATCAAGCAATTGAACCAACTGCTGCTCTAGAGTCAAAGGAGGAGATTGCGGATCAGCCATGAAGATGAACTAAAAAGAAAGAGCAAAAGAAGATAAATGACAAAAAAACTGGAAAGAAATGGTAGATCTAGACAATGCAAAAAGCTAAATCTAGACCAAAATCTTGAAAGGAAAGAACAAAAGAAAAGAAATGGAAAAAGCTAAATCTAGACGATGCAAAAGCTAGATCTAAACCGAAATCCCAAATCCAAGCACTCCCTAGGGACAATCAAAGGTGCCCCTCACCTCCACCAATGTGAGTGCATGGAATATGGAAAGGGAATACAGAAATATGCATATCCATTAGCCCAAAAACCCTAGCTTATATACAGGAGCGAGTGGTCCGGATTGAAACCAATCCGACGGCTACCAAAATCCACTACGCTAATATTAGTATACGGCATCGTAGCCGTACACTTGGCCCTCACATCTTAATATTTTAGGCTACACGAAATAATTTTATTTATGCACAAAAAATTATTTCTGGTGAAAATATTTATGTGAATTTATATATTTTCATATTAAAGCATTAGTATAATATATCAACATGATTTTATTTATAAGTTTTTCAATTTTAAGTGTTGTTGAAGATGTTTGCCCAGCATATGCACCTCCTTTTGGAATTGTAAGATGAATTTTTAAGTTCTAATAGTGATTTTATGAAACATCTTGGTATTGTTTTCAACACCCTTTTGGATGGCACTAATATTAAAAATGAAATAAAATACAGTGGTGTTTTAGTATGTAACCAAACCTTATATCATCGGGATCAATGCTACAGTTGTTTAGAGAATCTACACAAAGAGATTACATTAGGTGCTCCATATTACAATTATATAGTGCTAACAATTTATGTTATCTTCACTATGAAAAAAATTCATTTTCCTAAATTATTGTTGCAATTTTAATTTGGGGAGTTCAGATTCTTTTAATGATATTAGTAAAAATTAAATATTCTAAATAATTGTTTGCACATTGCATATAACAAATTTTGGTTTACTTACTAATAGTACTATTCTTGTTTAGTATTATAATTAATATAGTTAACTAATATATAATTCAATTAAGAATTCTAAGACTACTAGAAGAGAAGTTGATTATGAAGACAAATATTCTAGGCATAAACACAAACCACATTTTTCTTCAATAATATATACTGAATCTAGTTTATATATAAGAGCAAATGGTCCAGATAAAACCAATCCAAATGCTAATAGCCATTTTAATTGTGCATTTAGACATATCATCTCCTCTCAAAAAAATAGAAAAGAATTAGGGTTCTTGTGTTGATAGGCCAAGATCTTAAGGAATATTAAGAGGAGGCACCACTGGATCCATAAGTGGTGCAACTTATTTCTAATCCTTTTGTATGAAATGTTTCAGCTGTTACATATTTATAATTTTTAGAGGATTAAATGCTATACTAAACTTCATAAACTTACAATTTAATTTGCCAAAACACTTGATATGAAGACAAATCAGATATTGTAAAATTGGAAAAAAGAACTAATATTAGGTCATCTACTTTATACTCTGCAAATGGATAATAATGAGAATTGTAACACCATTGTTATCTCACTTGTATGCATCTACTTTATACTACACATGGATAATAATGAGAATTATAACACCATTGTTATCCCATTTGTATGCAACCTAAGTATTTAGAGACTAGTGGAAAAATGTTTATTAAATATTAATCATAAAATGTAGCATCAAGAGCTCATAACAATCGTAAACGTAAACACAACTTTATTGATAATATAGAATCATGAATATATAAGAGTTTTTATGATAAATCATCAATAAAAACTCTATACCCCCATGACATAAGAATACTGAAAAAATGGTAAATAACCATCCTAATCTAAGTATTAAAACTTCATATATTTTGCAATCATCCCCTTAAAGATCTAAACAAGTTATTCTACTAAACCATCTATTTGTGGATGATAAAAACTTGCTAAAATTTGGCATATCCCCAGTCGAGACGTCAAAATTTAAAATGCCTTAACCATAAACAAAATACCATTATTTGTTCAGTTCCAATTATATAGCATAAAGTATCAATTGTTTCTCCAAAGTCACCGAAGGAGGAACATGAAGCCACCATAAAGGAGGAATATACTACTTTACAATAAATATGAAAAAAATGAGGGAAAATAAATGACAAGAAATAAAAAAGTTATAGAAACAAAAGTGATTTAGTCATTGTAAAAGTTAGATCTAAAAGAAATAAAAAAATCCAAGCACTTTCAGGGACAACTAGAATTGCCCCTCATCTTATAGAATATAGAAATATACATATATAATTTGCCCAATAACTTTATGTCATATATGGTTTAGATTGAAACCAATCTAATAACTATTAAAATCTCACTATGCTAATAAATATATAGAATCATAGTTATACACTTGGACCTCATAATGTTTATAATTATAATTAAAATATTAATCTAAATGAATAACAACTATTAGATGGTAAAATATCCCAAAATATCTAAAAACTTATTCTAAGTATAATTTGCTTAAGCAAACTAAAATAATTTCCTGTGCTATACAACAACACTTAGTTTTGTTTGGAAAACTTTTTTTATTAATGATAGCACTTTTTATTTATATGACTTACTAAAATTAGAAATTAATGATTTTAATAATGTTATTTTTTTAATAATAATATTTTTACATAAATATTATCCTAAAATGATAATATAATTTGAATATTATTTTATTTTAAATAAATTTAAAAAAATTAAAAAAATTTCAGATATGAAAAAATTTATTCTTAAAAGTAGTAGATAGAATGTTCTTTAATCAATTAATATATTAAGATCCCAATCCCTAGTTAGACTATATCAGCTTGTATAGAAGATTTTGGGGTAATCTTGACGTGAAGAATTTTTTAAAAAAATTAGAAGACAATACCATTGTCTTATAGATCATAATAATCTTGTGTGGCAATCTTTCATATATATTGTTATGATGATTATTATCTTTTGTTGTTATGCAATCTTCAATTATGTAGTAGAGTAGAGCTTTATGCATTACTGATGGATGCAAATGCCTTCTGGCAGAAGCTCTGGGCTAAACTCTAGTGGCCAGAAATATTATATAGTTTCTATTGAAATTGTTTTGATTCTATCCAAGAATTGTTTGCGTGGAGAGTCAGCTCTAAGGATTGTGTTGTAAACATCAAGCCAAGAACTGGAAAGGTAAAGGCCAAAGTCTGGGTATATTAATTTTCCCATCATATTGGTGGGAGAAAGTTAAAAGCCTAGAGCTACTTATACATGTTGAGGATAAGTTCTTAATGAACCAGATTCATGTTTTTTAAGATGGTAAATAGGTTGATAACTAATTATATTAATGTTAAACCAATAAATCAGAGAAAAGTTGAAGAGAAAATCACAACCATTAGATTAAAGAAATATCTTGAAATGTGCCTGAATATTCTAGATATATTCCTTATACCCTTTTCTAAAGTTTTCAATTATATTGTTTTCCATTTGAAAAATGTAAATAATCAATATGCATCAACTATTGATGAATTATTAGTTGAAACAAAACCATCATACTACAAACAGTTTCATGGTGTGTGGATCTTATTCTAGTTCATACTTAATAAGAGTTTTGCAGCCAAGCTTATAAACATTTATGTCCAATGAAGCTTATTTCTAAGTATCTATAATATGCTCAGTAAAGACTTTAACCATAACATATATAAGAAATCACTTGTACCCCAGATACTCCAATTACCAATATTAGCCATTGATCATACTATAAGATTTAATTTTAACCATAAGATGTAATATTTTAAGGATATTTTAAACACTCAGCAATAACAAACTTAATAATTTGTTGCATGTTGCATGCAACATTTGGTTTGCTTAATAACAGTGTCATTGAAATTGATCAGTAATTATAAACATGTTTATAATTTATAAATCAAGATTAATTGTATTGCATATTAACCAATGGTAGAATAAAAAAGAATATATTGACATGTTTAGGAAATTTTATAAATTATAAACATGTTTATAATTTATAAATACAAGATTAATCTAAATAAATAACAACCATTAGATGGTAGAATATCCTAGAATATCCAGGCATATTCTAAATATATTCATTACCATCTCAACCAAAAAGTTAAGAACGGTATTTAGTATAACCAAGAATAGAATCAAATACTGGCCAAACGCTTCTTAAATTGTTTATTAGATTTCTCTCTATAAAGAAAATCAAATCCAAGTCACTAGGGCGATCACGTTGCTAAGACGGCAATCAGTGGAAGAGGTGATTATTTTCTTCTGTCAGATCCGGCTTTCTGGAGCGATGGCGTTTGTCTTCCTCACTTCACCGCCGTGATCTCTTTCTCTTGGTTGCATCCTCCCATGCATGGAGCACGTAGTCGATTATATCTTGCAATCCTACACCGTGCTTCACCTGGAAAGCCAAGGTTACACACTAGTTCTCGTGGAGAAAATCGAAAAAAGAAAGCTCGACATTCATTTACCTGTGCAAAGACGAATGGACCACCGTCACGCATTCTCAACGCGTCCCGTTCCATCACTTTCAAATCCGCTCCAACAGCCTGCGCTAGATCCGTTTTGTTGATAACCTGTGCGTTTTCTTCAGTCGAGAGTGGAGCGAGCAAAATGAAAAGTAACTTACAAGGAGATCGGCTTGTGTGATACCAGGCCCGCCTTTGCGAGGAATTTTGTCGCCCCCAGAGACATCGATAATATAGATGATGTAGTCGGCTAGTTCCCTGCTGAAGTTTGCGGCGAGGTTATCTGCAAACAAGAAACGAGTTAGTTGCGGTAGAAAACAGTGTTGTACCTCCTCCGGATTCGCACAAAAGTATGTCAGCCGAGAACTTTGTAGAGAGTTCTTCCAGTGGTCCCAAATTAATGCTGATGTCTTCTCGAATTGCAGCGTGGGGGCATCCACCAGTTTCGACAGCTCTTATTCGTTCGGGGGCAAGAGCACCGTTTTTAACCAGAAACTCGGCATCCTCTCGTGTAAAAATGTCGTTTGTAACCTGCACCAACCAGGATCTCTATTTTGCTTTGACTTCGAAGGGGCTCACTTACGGCTGCGATGCTGTATTTATCTCGCAAGGCCTGGCAAAGAGCAAGCATTAGAGCTGTCTTCCTGCAAGTCAAAACAAGAAGCAAGCGAAAGTGAGCCAAATTCACTGCAGAAAAGAGGAAAAATGTCACAGACCCTGTTCCAACCGGTCCTCCGATCCCGACAGTAAAAGCGCGCTCCGCAAAGTTGCGAGATTGCAGAGCCAAAGGCCGCCGGTTGAAGTAGCCAGGAGAATCGAGCTGCTCGTGCGTGTGAGGAGCCAAACCATCATGGGAGTGGTAGAGCTTTCCATCCGGACCCTTCCACTCGTTGGCCCTGAAAGAAGAAACGAGAAAGGTTGGCTGCTAGACCCCAAAGAAACAACATACCCATGAGCTTCGCCGTGATCGTGGTGGTGATGGTGCTCCGCCATAGTTGATCTTTTCCTCCCTCTTCTAACAGCCGAGCCGTCGATTTAATTTTTTCCGATCATATCGGTCAAATCAACTTAGAATAGTGGCTCTTTGCCTCGTGGAACTTCAGCGTCGGTTATGCTGCCTGCCTGTAGCATCAAACCACGACCACCAATTACGTCGCAATCCAATCGCTCGAGAAACTCGATGAATTACCTCGATCAGCCTGCTGTGATTGAAAGCTTCCAGTATCACATTTTTAAAGATTCCTGCGATGCGAAGCTGTCAATCATCCCACCTCCAACGAACTCTGCAGCTCTCATTTACCACTAATCGCAGAGCTCCTTTTTAACCCGGCACGGCAGCACCTCGATCGATAATCCTTCTCGCAAGGATCAACCTCGTGCTCCGTTAGTGCTATGGTTCTGTAGCCAAGGAAGGAAAGCACCCGTGTTAGTATATAAGGAACCACGCGGCATAAAGAGTTTCATCCAACCTCTTTTTGTTTTCCTCATCACGTCCTTCTGCGCGTTTTTTCTCTTTCGCAAAGATGTGGAAGACGACGACGATCGCTCTCTTGATGGTTTTCGCGGCGCTTCAAGCTGAAACGACGAGTAAGCTCAAGTCTTTCTCCCTCCATCCTGTTGTTGTTTTCTAAATCTTTCTGGTATCTACAGCCGCTGTGCATCCGTCCTTGTATCACAGGAAGTTGCTAGAGCTGCAGCCTGGCCAGCCAATCTCGCCGTTTCGGTCCGTTCCATCTGGTCCCGACGACCCTTTGCACTACCACCGCCGCCGTGGACACAAAGAGTGCGTAGCGAGCGAAGCAAGCGCCTGTTCATCTTCTTCTACTGCGCCAACTGTCGAAAAACCTTTTGCTAGTGCTGCTACTGCTACTACTACCACTGCCACTGATGCTCCATAAAGTTCCTGGTTTTCTAGTACTACTCTAGTGCCGAGATGATCAATGCACAAGCTATGTATGTGCTCATTGTCACCTTCTAAGTAGATCGGCGTCTACGGAAAAGAGAGTGGGTGATGGACTGTTGTGCTCCAATACTTTCGTCTCAATATTGCTTCTGGTGGTCGAAGGATTCGTAAGGCTGTGAGAAAGAAAGAAGAGTTTCTAGAATGCTAAGAAAAACCGTGTACTATCGCCATTCTTGGGAGAAGAATAGGGGCTTGAATAGTACCTGAGAAAGGGCTCAGTCGCAAAATTGCTTGGGCTTGACGATGCTAACGCCGCTGACGCTCGAGCTCTTGAGCATTTCCAGCTGCTTGCAGCCCTTGTTGAGCAGGTACTCGATCTGGGTGAAATTCTTGCGCTCGATGCCTACCGCATTCCTTCGGAACTCGGCGCTCACGATCGCCTCCATCTCGCGCCGCGCCTCCGGCGCCTTACTGCGGGCGACGCGGAGGAAGCTCCGATAAAGACTGAGGACCTGACGCTGGAGCCCCGAGAGCTTCATCACTGAAGAGCCCTAAATCTCTAGGGCTAGGTTAGCAAATTCAAATTGATTGAATTCCCGCCATATTTATAGGGGTTGACGCCCTAATTCTTTGGGGCTAAGATTCATAGCAGCAGAGATTGGAGAGCATCACGTATGGCGCGGACAGCCCGCGCGTTAGAGGGCTTTCCACCTCCATGGCGTTCTTGGCAGCCATGGCAGCCTTCTCCAAGCTCTCGTGGTAATTGGGCGCACCCAGCAAGGCCGCCCACGTCTCCGCATCCGGCGCAAACGGCATTGCCGCGATGAGTTCCTCCGCATCGCGGATCCGCCCAGCTCGCGCGAGTGCATTGATAATGCACGAGTAGTGGTTCTTCGATGGCGCCAATCCGTGTGCCGCGATCGCCAGCCCAAATTCGCGCAGCCCCTGCTCTCCCGCGTGGCCGCGCGCGGCTAGAACGCTCAGCAGCGTGATCTCGTCGGGCCGGAAGCCCTCTAGCGCCATGGATTCCACCAGCGCGATCGCTGACGCTGGATCTCCCGCCTGGGAGTATGCCGCGACGATCGAATTCCAGGATACGATGCTCTTGATCGGCATCGCATCGAAGAGCTCTCGCGCGCGATCCAAATGCCCCAGCTGGGCGTGCATGCTCAGCAAGCACGTCCACGCCACCACGCCCCTCTCGGGCATCCTCTGGAATATCCCGTGCGCGCGGGGTATATTCCCGGCCGAGGAATATCCTTGGAGGATCGTGTTCCACGAGACATCGTCCCACTTGGGCATATTCTCGAACGTGGCATCGGCATCCTCCAGCTGGCCGTTTCGGGAGTAGAGAGCCACCATGGCGTTGTGCGAGACGATGTCTCTGTGGGGCATTGCCTCGAAGAGAATCTTTCCATCGTGGAGATTCCCAGACTCGGCATATGCCGTAATCAGTGTGTTCCAGGAGATTACGTCCCAGCGTGGCATCCGGTCGAACATCTGCTGCACATTCTGGAAGTGGAACTTTTCAGTGAATCCAGCCAGCATTGCGTTCCAGCTGATGGGATCTCTTCCATCCATCTCGTCGAAAATCCGCTTGGCCAATTCTGTGTCGCTCCTGTGGAACAATGCCCGGATCATGAGCGTTGATGAAATTGTGTCTTTCTGTGGCATTAACTCAAACATGGATTGAGCTTTGTCCATCTCCCCAGTTTCAACGTGGCCAGAGAGAATGGCAGCAAATGTGATTGCATCCCTCTCTGGAATCCTGTTGAAGACATCGTAGGCTTCCTTGAGATTGCTGTGGTCCGAATAAGCTTGGATCATCGTGTTCCAAGAAACTAGGGTTCTCTGAGGCATCCAATCAAACAAGTTCTTAACATCTTCCAAATGCCCAATTCTGGCATTCACTGCTATCATCTCGTTACAGGAGACAACATTCCACTCTGGCATTTTTGCAGCGGCTTCTTTGGCTTCAAGTAACAACATACTGTGATTTACTCCAAATACTGTGTTTCGAGAAGTGATATTCACCGAGGATGCCTGATTAAACACTTGGAACGTATCCTCCATTTTACCGCTTTGGGTAAATGCGGCAACAAGGATGATCCAAGAGAGTACGTTTCTTTCTGGCATTGAATCAAACAATTCCTTAGCTTCAACGTGATTCCCGTGGTGTGCATAGACAGTTATCATGGCATTGAAAGTTACCAGATCCCTCTTTGGCATAGCATCAAACATGTTTCTCGCGGATTCCAGATGCCCATTCTGAGCATATGCGTGGATCATGAGGCTCCACGAGTATAGATTAAGTTGGCGGATGCCCATGAATGCCTGGGACGCATCCTCCACGCTTCCAAGCCTTCCGTACACCTGGATCATCGTGTTGGCGAGAAACCTATTGTCGCAGTGATCGCTGTGGACGATATGGGCGTGGAGGCGCTTGGCATCGGTATAGTTTTTGCATTCTTTGAGGAGCTTGTGGAATCGGTCCTGCCCACGCAGCGCATTCATATCATTCGATGGAATCGCGGGGAACGGAGCTCCAGCCCACCAAGGATTCATTCGCCAGGATCATCAAGTCTTGCGCCATCGCTGGGAATCTCACCCAGGGACGGCGAATTCACTCGCAGATTCTTCAGAGCAGCCACTCTAGCGACACGTTTCTAGCGAATCTTTTGGTGCAAATGTATGGGAAGTGCGGGAGTGTTGACGATGCAGCGAAGGTTTTCGAGCGGATCAAGCGCCTCAACTCTTTTTCCTGGAGCATTATGATTCAAGCATATGCCCAAAACGGGCATCTTGCTCAAGCACAAGCTTTGTTCGATCGAATGCCGGGAAAAAACCTGGAATCTTGGAATGCATTGCTCACTGCTTATGCCAGATCTGGAAAACTGGAGAAAGCCCAAGAGATTTTTGACAGCATGCCTGTGAAGAACACCGTCACCATCAATGCGATGCTCTCCGCATATGCCACAAACGGGCATATTGGCGATGCTTGGAATCTTTTCGAGACAATGGGGCATCGCGACCGAATATCCTGGAACACAATGCTTCAGGGATTTTCTCTCAGTGGTCAGCTTGCAAAATTAAAGGATCTTTTTTATGATATGCCATCTCCAGATGTAGTTTCATGGACTTGTGTGATTACAGCATATGCCCAACACGGGCATTTGGAATATGCCCGTGCCATGTTTGATGCGGCGCCCGTACGGAACGAGGTCACCTGGAACTCCATGATCACTGCGTACGGAGAGAATGCCGATGTTTCGGAAGCAAAAGTTTTGTTTGATTCGATGCCAAATCCAAATGTTGTGTCGTGGAACGCTCTCGTCCAAGCCTATGTCAATGCAGATGATTTCCGGGGAGCAAAGGTGGTGTTTGATCTAATTCCGGAACCGAATGTTATTTCGTGGACCACCATGCTTGCTGCTTATGCCCAAAGCGGCCAACTTGAGAAAGCGAAGAGAATTTTCGAAGATATGCCGCAAAAGAACGTTGTTTCCTGGACTGTTATGCTCTCTGCTTATGCCGAAAACGGGCATTTACGAGATGCAGAGATTCTCTTTGAGCATATACCACAAAAGAACAATCTGACTTGGAACGCAATGTTGCTGGCTTACGTCCAAAGAGGTGATATAGAGATGGCGAAGAGATTCTTTGACAAGATTCCTTCTCCATGTACAATAGCCTGGAACACAATGCTTCAAGTGTTTACCCAGCGTGGAAATCTGGACGAAGCTTTGGCTTTCTTTGAGCATATTCCCGATAAAAACTCCACGTCATGGACAACTATGATTCTTGCTCTCGCGAAGAATGGTCGAATAGATGAAGCAAAAGCTATGTTTGTAAAGTCACTACCTCTCTACGATCTTGTGTCTTGGACTGCATTGCTTGGCGGCTATGCTCAAACTTGCGATGGATTTGTGGAGGAGGCCAAAGCAATCTTTGAAGCTATGCCAGAATGGGATATGGTAACTTGGAACACTATGATTTCGGTTTATGGCTTGAACAATCGCTTAGAAAACGCTAGAGCCTTGTTTGATTCCATGCCAGCATGGGATATAGTTACATGGAACACACTGCTTTCTATCTATGCCCAATCTGGATATAGCGAAGAATGTAAAAACCTCTTTGAAAGTATGCCATTCTTAACAGCGATATCTGTAAATGCAATGATATTGGGGTGTGATTCTCTCCAGGAGTCCAAGAGTTACTTTGATACGTGCATACCTCCTGGAGAGAGGGATATTCTTTGCTGGAGTTCTATGATGCTTGCATATACCCGGGCTGGGCATATACTCAGAGCGAAGAGAATGTTTGATGGGATGCCCGAAAAGGACTTGGTGGTGTGGAATATGATGGTGGAGGCGTATGGACAAGGTGGTCATGGAGACAACGCTGTGGATGTGTTTAGAAAAATGGAGGTGGAGGGTATCAAGCCTGATAAGATTGCTTATGTGAGTGTCTTGGCAGCTTGCAGCCATGGAGGTCTTTTGGATGAGGCTTGTGCGAATTTCTCCAACATGAGCGATGCGCATGGATATGTTCCTGAGGATCAGCATTTGTGTTGCTTGGTGGATGTTCTTGGGAGGACCGGGAAGTTGAAAGAGGCCGAGGAGTTGATCGAGGCTATGCCGTGTGAGATTGGATCCGTGGCTTGGGAGTGCTTGCTTGGAGCTTGTAAAATCTATAAGAATGCCGAGTATGGGCAAAAGGCAGTCCAGAAGATTGGAGCTTTGGTACCAGAGAAGGCCACTTTGTACTTGTCTATTGAAGCTATATCCCAATAAAAAGACCCTCGCGGGCGTCAACTCCAAATCGAAAACTTGTAAATGAAGACGAACCTCATTTTACGGCTTCAGCCAAAGAGCTAAACTTTGATCCTTTGTCACGCAAGAGCGCCTGTGGATCACCTTGTTCTACCTGTAATGGAAAACCGATTCATGCTTTCCTAAAAAGTTTATTGCTTCACGTACCAGTCGGCCTTGGTCCAGGACGAGAACTCTCTGGAGATCAGAGATAGTTGAAAGGCGATGGGCAATCGTGACCACCGTAACGTCTTGGCATTCGTGCGCGATGGCTCTCTTTAAAAGGCGGGTTGTCTCCGGATCCACATTTGCCGTGCATTCGTCCAAGCATAAGATCTGTAGCGAAAGTTCGTTATAATGGAGCAAACAAGACCAGGGAGCTGGCTTACGCGAGAGCGCTTGAGAAGCGAACGAGCAAGGCAGAGAAGTTGTCGCTGGCCTACAGAGAAGCTCTCGCCACATTCTCGTACTTGAGTATCCAGTCCCGCGGACTCCACTGCAGGCTTAAGGTGGCACTTTGCTATCATCTCCCAGAGCACGCAATCGCTGGCCTGTCCTGTTGGATCCAAGTTCTCCCTGACAACAGCAACATGTTAGAACTTTTCAGCCAGCACGTAGAAAAGCATCCTACCTCACCGTTCCTTCAAACAGGAAAGGACTTTGAGGAACGACCGAGAGGCTTTCTCGGAGTCGATGGAGGCTGAGTTTTGAGATATCAAAGCCATCGATCATGATTCGGCCAAAACTTATAGGCCTCAGTCGAAAGAGCGCACAAAGGATGCTGGATTTTCCTGCACCTGTTCTTCCTGCGATGCCTACCTGCGGTATCATCAGCGTCAACGACAGGCTCTGGAAGTTTTTAATACCTTCTCTCCTGCAGCGATTTTGAAGGAGATGTCAATCAGGGCGGGAGGTAATTCAGGACGATACACGAGCTTTACGTTTTCAAACTCCACTTCTCCATTCTCTGGCCAGTTCTCGGGAAGATGGCCATCTTCTAGTTCTTGTTTGTCACCCTTTTCTGGAACTTCTATGTCGATCATTAGATACTGTAAGCATTACGTTAGAAGACAGGTTTTATAAAACTCACGAACCTGTTGCACACGCTCAACGGACACCATCTCTTTCTCGGTCTCGGAAAATGCAGTGAGAAGATTGCTGAGAAGGGAAATAACTGGCGCAGCGTATGACAATGCCAAACCAATCTGCGTGGATCTCACAAGAGAAACAAAGATGACAAAACTTCTTTCGTGTTTCATACCAAACCAGCAGTCGTTGAGTTGATAAGTGAATCTCTGTCACGGCTCAGAACAGCCATCATGCTCACGAAAAAGACTAGAAACGCTGCCATTATCTGCAAGCAAGCTAAAAACTGTCAGCCTTGGTAAACTCACAACGGAGCTGTAGCACCTGGAGCCGAATGGACAGCCACAAGCTTGCTGCGATTTCAGAGAAAGACGCCCGCTGATTCGCTTCGACAAAAGCAACGTTTTGTGCCAAGAACATATCCTGGGAATGTATGAAGATGAACAACACCAAATGTGGATGAAAACCATCACAAACCTGTCGTTGAAATGCTCGGATGGTCGAGGCACCGTCTAGAGCTTCACTGAATGACGCATATATTGGGGACCGGGACACGCTATCAAGCCGCCGCAGCTCACGAGACGTTTCTCGGTAGAATCTCTGCATTTTTTTATGGTTTATTATTCACAGTAAGAAAACCACCCAAGAGCGAACCTGAATCCTGAAATAAATAAGACCAAGAGGTATAAGAAGCACCACGATTTCCCACTGAAGAAACAACGTAAGCCAGACTAAGAAACCTGCTTGAAACTTACTTGGACAAGGCAGAGAACAATTAGAATTCCCAGAAGGCTGAAGCAATGCGCAAGTAATATATTCGCAATGAAAGGAAGGGAATCATCAATTGTATACAAATCCGAAGAAAACCTGCAATGACTATTGAGGCTTTGCAAATATAACACTCTTTACCTGTTAAGGATGCGTCCAACGGGGTTCTTCTCGAAAAACAAAATCGACGCTCTAAGGATATTGTTTAGCAGAGTTTCATGCACTTGGAATGCTGCACGTAAACCTCCGCATGCGAATGAAAATGCCCGCAGCAGAGTGAATAAGGAATTGAGACCACCTATAACAAAAAGAATATTCTGCACCGTCGACAATCCATTCGTGGTCAAGGCACAAAAAGAAAAAACAGCTCACCAAGTAAAACTTCACAGAATGATGGTGATCACTGCTTGAAGTTTTGTCAACCCAGTGAGCCAGCCACCAGTCGTTTCCATTCTTTGTTGCCTGCATCAAGCTTGTACTAGCAACTGTCACTGCTACGATGGAACAGCCAGTAAAAACCGCATAAGTCCTGCACGTTAAGTAACACCAATGTCAAGCACAGACGAAACAAGGGAGAGAACTAGCCTGTAAACAGTTGCCTTTACTCGTCCATAATCTCGAGCTTCTTCTTCCACCAGAGAGAAAGATTTCGCTTCTCGATCATTGCCACAAAATGTACGATCCTCATATGGCGTTGGCTCTGTATCAACCTCAATCTCTGACTGGTTATTATCGGAGTTTAAGTGCTTGCACGGTGCACTTGTAATGCATTTTGCATGCCCGTTTTCCACGAGAACTACAATGTCAGCAAGCGATGCTGCCTGAGATATCAAACACATATCAGATTAAACAAAGAAAAACAAACAAATCGTCAACCTGGTGATGGTGTGTGCATAAAACTCGAGTCTTGTCGCGTAACAAAGGCCCTTGAATCGCGTGATGCATAAGCCAGGCAGCTACATGTGGATCGACAGCGCTGAGCGGATCGTCAAGCAAGTAGATGTCACAATCTTGATAAATCGCCCTGTGGCCACGGCAGTTTGTAAAGCGCTGTACTTGTACCAGAAAAAAGATTCTCACCTTGCAAGTGCCAAGCGAGCCTTTTGTCCACCGGATAGATTGCATCCTCGTTCGCCTATCTCACTCAAATCTTTCTTGTGCATGAGTTCCACGTCAAAATCAAGAGAGCACGCTCTTACAACCTGATCGTATCTGCAAAATAATTGCAGCTCAAAGCTTTCACAAGAACAAGTTACCCACCTGTCTTCGACATAGAGCCGTCCAAAAAGAATATTTTCCCGCAGAGATCCAGATCTTATCCAAGGGGTCTGCAAGGAGTGGACACAGGTATTAAATCACCAAAAGAGATCTGTTTCGATTGGACCTGTGAAACAAATGCAGTAGAACCCGAGACATAGACAGAATCTTGTTCACAATTCATCTCGTTTAAGATTGCGTGAAGAAGGGAACTCTTCCCAGATCCCACCTGCATCAACTTGTTATACAGAGAAAGCCTTGCGACGTAACTTACTTGGCCGAGAACGACCACCAGTGATCCTTTTGGAATATCGAGTGAGATCCTTTTCAGAGTCGGCAAAGAAGAGGAAGCAGACCAGCTAAAGTCCATCTCAGACACCTTTAAGGCCGTATTGCTGTCCATCTCAGGCGTGGTTCGAGAAAAAGTTTGTGAGGAATCGGGAGAGCTCAAAAAACGTTGCAGCCTCTGAATAGACACCCATGCCTGGTTTGCTTTCGTCGTCAAGGCATGAAGAGAACGCAAAACAGATCAAGCAGCTTACCTCTACGATTCCAGTAATAACCCATGGAAAAGAGTTCAGTGGAGAAATTAAAATGTTGAAAAGAGCAAGGCTGGTGAACACCTGAGCAGAGAAATACAGTCAGTCAGTCAGCTTTTGCAGGCAATGATAGTGACCGTGGCTGCATCCAGAGTATGTCCTAGGAACGTAAACAATCCAAACGTAAGGACCGAGAATAAAGTCGGTGTGCACGCCCAGAAATAAACGCATAAAGCATCCAAGTATTTACGCGTCTGCAGGAAAAGACTGAAAGTTCAATCGGTATCTTAGCAAGGCCAGACACTTACGGACAAGTGCCTCATTTCCTCGTTTCTGACTGTCCTGATTTTATGACCAAAAAACGTTTCCCAGGCATACATCTTCACAGTCCAAATGTGAGTCAAAAGCTCACTTGTTCTCCGGATCCTGACATCCATGGAAGATTAAACAAGAACTTTTAAAACATTTCACAAGTCACCTCTCGTCTTTCTGAGCCATCATAAAAGTGTTTGCTTCACCAATTTTCACAGCTATCCATCGGTTCACTGCGTACCGAATTGTTAGCTTCGTCAAATGAAACCAAAACAGAAATTACCCGGTATGAGAAGGATAACCACGGCAAACCCCGCTAAAAAGGAGTACTTGACTTGCATGTAAAGCATACACAAGGCCACAACTATCTGCAATGGAAGACTAGCCTTTAAAACGTTAATTCTAGCTCGTGAAAGAACACAAATGCTTACCTCCACAAGTCATGCACACTTGAAAAGAGATTAATCGTCCTGTCGGCATCTACAGACATCAGCGTTTGGATTTCTCCAGTGGAAAAAGAGTTGCGCTGAGCAACACGTATGCTCAAAGCCTGTGGATCTTTCACTCAGACAGTATCCAAGACAATTTAAGTCGAGCCTACCTTGCGATAGACAATTGTTGTTAATCCTGCCTTTAACTTTAGCCTCAGCCTTGCTACTAGAAAACTGTAGTGTGTTCCCATAAATCCTCTAGCAACAAAGCAAATTAGCTGCCACGCAAACCAACCAAACAAGCAATTCTACCTCAACAGCGAAATACCTCCGATTCCACAAGCATACCAATAGCCACGTCCATGGCTGGTATGTTTACCTTTAAACCAACACCTTAAAACACAAATAGATGTCAAGGAGAACAAGCTCACCAGATTGCAGATACTTCATTATTGCATTGAGAAACAATGGGCCCGAGAAACTGAGGCAGTCATTGACAACCTACAAATACTTGTTTTTTCAGTAAGTAGAGAATTGTAGTCAAACCTTCAACAGTCCGATGAAGAAAAAACTCCATCCATAAGACCGGAAGATCGCCCAGAACAGCGACTTGTTTTCTGATTCTAAACAAGCTTCCCACAGTCGATCGCGGCATACTTCTGGATCGAGGTCCCCGGGCAATGGAAATAAATCGTCTTGGCAAAGTTGCTTGCCAGAACCAGCATTCATGAGAGGATTCACCCATGAAAACGTTAGTGTGCTCCAGATCGAGGCACTCTAAAAAGGAGATGAAGTTTTAGAAGGAAAAGATCCTTGAGACAAGCACACCTGAGATGACGATGAAGCAGACTGTAGCAGAGGCTCTCTCTCTCCCTGTTTGAAGCTGTAGCAAAACTTGGCAACTTGTACAAGGAGCTCTGGTCAAAGAAAGAGCTTCTCACCTGTCTGATCCAAGCAAAGATAGAACCATGCTGGGAAGACTCGAATCAATCCTTCCCGAGGAAACCACCTCGATTACCTTCACGAGGAAAAAAAAGGCAGCGATCGCCGATCAAAGCACTATCACAGCTTACCAGCACTACTCAGCTTGAGAGAGGAATAAATCCTTCGCTCCTGAAGAAGCAAGAAAAGTTCTAGCTTCTCAGAACGAAAAATCTTAAAACCGTCACTTACCTCGCGCCAGGCAACTCCCTGGCTCATACATTGTCGATGCTTAGCTCAAAAGCAGAGTGATCGCTTCCAAATGAGCTGAATAACAAGCACATCCAGCTACAAACCATAAAAAAAACTCTCGAATGATGATCACGCGTGATGATAAAAAAGGAAATCGTACCTGTGCGCACAAAGAGATTCCTGACGCTGATGGATCCATCCCCCGAAAAACACCATGCCCTAGCACCAAGAACGCGCGCCGAGGGAGAGCGAGCGAGTAAACCTAGCTCATGCTTTAGGTGGCATTTCCTGGGCCGAGAATCGATCCGGCGCCATCCAACGTTTTCCAAAAACTATTATTAGTCAGCGATGGTTAAAGGTAAGGTCAACAAGTCAAATCCAACTTGATTTCACTCTGGGTTTGGTCATAGTCTACCTGTGGCTCGACACCAAACTCAAAACAACACGTCCTGGAGATTAATCCAGCACTTGAGAGTGATCAATCCCAACCAAGAACCACAGACTTACCATCTTGATCTGGAGGTAATCCGCGTATTGGGCTTCCACATGATCCATGGGTGATGAATACTTTCGCGAGAGCTAAAGTGCTCTGCTGAAATGCAAAAAAGAACTTCAGGTATGATCCAAAACAAGATGGGCTCTTCTGTTGATGATATCTACATTGTTGTAGCTCACTATTGATGAAGTGTAGCATTTTTGTTGTATTTTATCAAATCGAGTTGGCACTTGATACTCACATAAACCTTTGTAGTAGCACTATACAGTGCTGTTTGAACCCGGGTTTGGCATGAGGATTTGCTCAACAGTTGAGCCAAGGCTGCAGAAGCGTGGAAGGAAAGGAAGGTCTGAGTTGTAGCTGTGAAGGGCGTAACTCTTGCAGTTACGTCTTAAAAAAAATTCTATTCGAAAAAAGGTTAGTATATTATATTTTAACCTTAACTATTTTAATTCATTTCTTCTGTCACAAAAAAGCATCTATTAATCACAAGTATAAGGTAAAAGGAAAAGAGAGATGACAATGTTGAAGTTGCATCAAAGATGGCCCACTCATAAACAGCGTAGACTCCATGCCCACGCTTCCCAAGGTTTCTGAATGGTCCACAATTCAACCACGCCTCTGGAACGTCGGTCCAGACGAGAGGATAGAAGTCATAATGAAGCCACTTGAAGTTTCCATCTCCATCGCCATAGCCATTGCTATATATGACTCGACGATATGGCCAAGAACAAGCGGCTCAACTATCACTAGTAAGACTCTTCCAGAAAAAACCACATAGGTTAACAAAAGACAGCAATCATGACTACTAACACTGATCCTATCATGGATGAAGACTTTCTTCCATGGCCTCGCAGCAAAGGTGAAGAAGAATCCGACCTCTTATGAGAACTCCCAGGGACTTTTCGTGCCTCTTCTGGAAGTTGGACAAAGCTCCACAATTAATGTACTCTTCAAGCACATCCAGGTTACAATCTCGTTTCGATCTGCGGCGGCCTCTGGTCTCCCGATACCGTAGCCAAGAGAGTCGCATTTCCTTTCAAGGGTTTCTTTCTATGTTTGCTTAACAGGGAATGCTATTGAAGGATACGGCAGTGATCTCTGAAACCAGTGACTCTTCATTAATTGTCAAAAGTTGAAACTTCCAGATGGTTGGTGAGAACTAATATCTCTTCTTCCTTTGGTTTGTATCACTCAGTCGTGATTGCTTGTGTGAAATTTTCTAACGGAACTATTGACTGGTCCGTCGGTGCATTGCTTGGCTACGCAGAAGGTGCGAAAGAGTGTGTGATCGCTTGGAAGCTTTCAGGTACCCCTTGTTACATGACACACCTCGCCACGTGTCCATTAGGGTTTTCCTGTTCTGTCCGCTAGCGCGGTGCGCTTTGATCCCGATTTGTCTCATGGTATCGGAGCTGGGATAGCGCTATGGAAGGAAAGCCATCCATCCGCGAGTTTGATGGAGAAGGGTTTGAGGGATTCAAGATCCATCTTGAATCCTATCTCTTGTTTCATGGTTTGTTGGGGATTGTAGATGGGACAGAGTCATCACCGGCTCCAGGCTCTAGCGCTGCTGAGGTGCGTGATTGGAACCTTCGGGATTCCAAGGCTAGAGGGAGTATTGCAATGTGCTTGTCCTCAAATGTTCTCTTTGCTGCCCCATCGATTCCAAAGTCCACTGCGGCAGAGCTTTGGAAGTGGCTGAGTGACACTTATGGCACCAAGAGTGAAATGGATGTCTTCAACATCCATTCACAAATGGATTCCTTGAGGCTAGAGGAAAATGGCAGTATCCAGACTCACACTGCCAAGCTCCAGGGTTTCTTCACACAACTTGCAGCTGCTGGGGCGAAGCACTGTCTCACGGATGAACAGCAGAGGCTGCGGCTCTACAGGTCCTTGCCAGCGAGCTGGAAGAATGCAGTTGAGAGCCTGCTTCTCCAACCAGGGATGACTTGGGCAGATGCCGTGAGGAGTCTTCACAACATTGAGGCCATGCGAAGCGAGAGAGCTGAAATGCCACAGGCTATGTATGCTTCGCAGGCTTCTGGTGATGCCCAGGTGGCAAAACCGCATGCAGCTGCAAATGCCCAGAAAGGGCAAAATTCCATGGCATCTGGGCGTGCCAAGCCCAGACTTGCTAAGAATCAATGTGCTCGCTGCTTGGCGATGGGCCATTGGGCTCGAGATTGCCCTGCTCCCAAGCCTGTCAAGCGACTAGCTACGTTGGCGAAAGCTAATTTGCTTGAGCGTGATGGAATTGCTACTGCAAATGAGGCTGTTGAGGAGCTCTACAACGCAGAGGCAATTGCCGCACCAAGCCGGTGGCTCTTAGACTCTGGTTGTACTAATCTTATGAGCAATAAGAAGAGTCTTTTTGAGTGTTATCAGCCGAGCATTGGAAAACGTGGTGTTCATTTAGGTGACAATACCACCATCCCGGTGGACGGCATCGGGCAATTCCGGCTCTCACTCGATCATGGGAGGACCATGGCCTTTGATGGTGCCATGCATGTTTCCACCTTGCGACGAAACTTAATGTCCGTCGCCAAGCTATGTGATCAAAATGCGGTGGTAGTCTTTGATGCAAAGGGAGTCTCTTTAGTTGACTCTAGCGACTTTCATATGCTTGGTACACAGTTGCTTCGTGGGTCACGCATTGGGGACTTGTATGAGATTACTGCTGTCGACCCAGTTCAGGCCTTTCAGACTGTGGAGGCAGATTCTCATGCGGAGCTTTGGCATAAAAGACTCGGTCATGTTCATTACCAATCTCTTCAACGGATGAAATCCCAAGATATCGTTACTGGATTGGATTTCCGACGTATCCCATCTACATTTTGTGAAGCTTGTGTTTTAGGCAAGCATCACCGCCGGAACTTCTCACCGAGTAAGCATCGAGCACTTGGACTTCTGGACTTAGTCCATTCTGATCTTTGCGGCCCCATGGACGTGCCAAGTCACGATGGCGCAAGATATTTCATCACATTCATTGATGACTATAGCCGTCGAACATGCATCCACTTCTTGATGCGTAAGAGTGATGCAGTTGCTGCCTTTCAAACATACAAGGCATACGTTGAAAACCTCCTTGGTCGAAAGATAAAAGCTCTTCGAGTTGATGGTGGTGGCGAATACCTCAACAATGAGCTTCGGGGCATCTGTCGTGATGTAGGCATACGACTGCAAGCTACCGCCCGCTACACCCCCCAGCAAAATGGTGTTGCAAAAAGGAAGAATCGTACTCTTGTCAATGCTGCTCGTGCTTTGTTAGCTGATGCACATCTTGACAAGATGTTTTGGCAAGAGGCCATAGCCACAGCAATGCATGTACAAAATCGCCTTGCCACGGCTGCTTTGGATGGAAAAACCCCTGAGGCATTTTGGACAGGTTCTACTCCTGATGTGTCCCACTTTCGGGTCTTCGGTTGTGCAGCATACGCACATACCCCTGATCAACTTCGGAAAAAGCTAGATCCCAAGAGTAAAAAATTCATCTTCGTGGGATATGCACAGGACGACACTATCGGGAGAAAAGCTTACAAGTTGTGGGATCTTGCCTCTCACAAGGCTATTGTAAGCACAGATGTCATGTTCAATGAAGACGACTTTCCCATGCGTACAGAGGCTCTTCAAGATCCTTCTTTTATTGCTGAGACTCGACTTGTTCCTTTGATCCCACTTATGGGAGATGGTCCACTCTTGCCTCCGCCTCAAGATCCTATTTATGAGTTGCCACCAGAGATTCCATTGGGGAATCCTCCACTTCTGGACATGCTTGAACCAGCTGATGCTCCTCTAGTTGAGGATAGGCCTCCGACACCTCCGACACCTCCACCACCTTGTCGACGTCGTGGCATGCCTGATCCGATGCCAGTTCTTGATCACCCCCGGGAACGTCGGCCCTCGTTAAAAGTCCGGGAAAATGCTGAAGCAGATGCTGCAGAGCTTGATGACTTTTGTGGCCTTATTGACATCGGCATCCCCATGACCTATGATGAGGCTATCTCAGGACCTGAGGCTTCATCTTGGATGGAAGCTATTGCGGAAGAAGTTTCTTCCATTCGGGCTAACGGAACTTATGTTCCAGTTGATTCAGCGCCACCGGGACGACGTGTTTTGGATCCAAAATGGATTTTTTCCAAAAAGTATGGGAAAGATGGCCAGGTTGTACGTTATAAGGCACGGTTGGTTGTTCGTGGTTTTCGCCAAGTCCATGGCCTTGACTACGATGAAACATTCTCACCGGTTGTAAAAATGGCCAGCCTCCGTACTCTTTTTGCCCTTGCGGCTGCTCGCAAATGGCAAGTCCACCATATGGATGTCAAAACTGCATTTCTGAATGGGGATTTGCAAGAGGACATCTATATGCATATACCTCCTGGTTTTGAGGACGATGTTGCCCCTGGTGGCCCTATATGGCAATTGTGGAAAGCTTTGTATGGCTTAAAACAAAGCTCTCGTATTTGGTATCAAAAATTTGATGCCACCCTACGTGCTCAAGGCTTTCGTCGCTGTCATGCTGATCACAATGTGTATGTCAATGGTCATGCTGAGCGCATGGTTATTGTGGCCCTCTACGTTGATGATTTGCTCATCATGGGTGATGACAACGATGCCATTGCTGCTCTGAAAGATGCTCTCAGCCAGCAATTCCAGATGAAGGACCTTGGCAGAGTCTCCTACTTTCTTGGCTTTGAAGTCACACGTGATCCTGATTCTGGTGGCTACATGCT